CTCAGGGCTGGGTGGAGGAAAGAGGTGCCTGGAATTGATCCACATTTCCCGACCTTTTTGTTGGACATTACGCCCACCTTGGACCCTGCAAGAGGAGCTGTCAAGCCTAGCGGGCTCTGATTTGGCCCCCTCCATTTTCCTTTGCTGCTCCTGGCTTCCCTGTGCCTCGGTGGAGTATTTGCTTTCTGGGCTGGGGCTGGAGGAGGCAGCCACACGCGCGCACACGCACACGTTCAGAGGAGGGCGAGAGGCGGCACAGGCACCATCTGCAGTGTCAATGCGGCGCTCCCGCTGAAGGAGGGAAACGCGGCGTTTCCAGGTAAGGAGCCGGCCAGCCGGGGCGCGGGGCCGGGATAGCGGCAAGGGCAGCGCAGGCGGAGATACCCGGGCCAGCCCCGGAGTCCTCAGCTGCCCTGGAGCCAGCTGGTTGCGCACACACACACGCACACAAATACACAAGGCACATACTGCGCTCACGCACCTGCCCACGTCCCACCTGGACACCGGCGGAGGTGCAGCGTGGCCGGAGCAGGGATTTCCCATGTTCTTTCTCCTGTCACACTCCTGGACTCAGGACTTCTCTTACCCAGGACTTTCAGGGTGGGATTCAGTGTATGACTGGCTCTCCTTCCCAGCAGGGTAGGCTGAGGGAGTGATTTTTCAGTTTCCAGCTCCTATCATCCCTAGCTGTTTTTTTTAAACGGGAGAAGTCATGGGAGGTCTTCGGAGACCCGCCCAGTGTAATCGCTCCTCCGTGGCCTTTCGACACCTTGTGATTTTAAGGGTGGACACATTGATAGATATTCGGACAGGTTTTTGGAGAGCCTGGTGGCCCGGTGCGCGGGGAGGAGGCCACATAGGCAGATGGGGATGCAGTTCTGTAGGGCGGTGCATATGGAACAGACACTGTGTTTCCCCAGTAAGAGGCAGCACAAACGCCTTTCTGAAGCAAGGCAATGCTTCCCAGGGAATGCACCGGGATTTCAGGGAGGAAGGGGCTTAAGCATCACAGAGCAGCGCAGCGAGAGTGTAGCTGGTCTAGGGAGGTTACGGGGTCAGATCCTCCTGAACAGACATGACCTCAGTCACATTCTAGGTCCCTGGGACATGAGCAGACAGGACTTGGGGACCTAGCACTTGGCCTCCCTCTCACTTCCCTACCCTTCCCTGGGCATATGGGGCTGCTTTCCCCCGTGCCTCTGGCTAACACCTGTCATATCCCTTTTGAGGTATGTGTCTGGGAAATTGAAGTAGGAAGGGGAGACATAGGGTCCTGGTTTTCCCAGGGAAGAATGTCCCTTCTGTCATGATCACATTGGAGGTGTCCATGGCATTCTTGGGTCTGCCAGCATCCCCCAGAGGCTGGCCACTCCAGAGTGCAGAATTCCTGTCCAGAAGCCAGTGATTCAAGCTTCTGTTTCTCTGAATCTTGTCCTTTCCTTTTCTCCTTGGCTGGAGTTTCACAGGGTGCTCATTTTCAAACTTTTCCTGAAGGAGGTAGGAGGTGGGGAGTTCCAAAGGGGCTTTTTTTATAGTTCCCATTTTGGGATCTAGGAGTAACTTATTTGGGAGCTCAGTTGTTACAGAGAGAAAAGTGGGAAGTTCAAGTAAAACATTATTTCAAGGTTGAATATACATATAGCGAGCTCCTGTGTTTCCCTAGCTGTCCCTTTAAGGTTGCTTTTGGGGTAACATGATTTTAAAAAAGTGGGATAAGCTTGTACCTTCTATATAAGATCATGTGCTCAGAACATCCCACAAATATCCCAGAGGGAAAAATATGTTGGGAGTCCTCTGGAATAAGAGAGACAAGGAACAAACATTCTTTTGAACAAGGAAGGCTCCGTGGTGGACACAGAATTTGGGTTGCTTATGTAAATCCTGAAAGATGGATACAGAAATAGGGGTCTTTTCCTCTACCCTCAGCTCTGCTATTTCCAAACTTTTTTTCAGCTCTTGCAAAGGTTTCTGTCTAGTCTGGGGAGAGGAGCAGACGCCCCAGGAGGGAGATTGTATTCCCGCTGTGTGCAGTGTGAGCTGCCCTTTGATTGATTGAAAAGGGTAGACAGAATAAAGCAAAGCTCTCACAATGGGGAGATCCCAGCCAGGGGAAGGAAACATTATTTTCTTTTTTTTAAAGAATAGTGGGCACATGCATGCACACTCACACACATACAGATATACATATGAATTCTCAGAATCTAAGCAAACGTGGTCAACTGGTCCAACTCTGTGTGACACTGGGGTGCACTTCTGTCTTCGCAGCTGTGGAAAAGCTGGCACATTTCTGCATGCATGCCCTTTGAGTGTGTAGACGGGAAGGTTTCACATACGTGTGTGGTGGCACATGGTTTGCAGCAGAAATAGTGAGCTCCTGCAGCAGTGGATGCCTCTCAAGTAAACATTCCCTCATGGGACCTATAAGGGGCAAAAGGTTGGGGTGCAGCTCTTCCAGAACTGACCGTGCATCTCGCCTGTAGACCGCTGCCTTTCTCCTTTCCCTCTTCCCTTTCTTATGTATTTATAACCTTAAGATCTTTCCTTTGAACATCAAACCAACAGTCATTCTGCTGGTGATAAGTCGAACAGCAGGGCTCAAAAATTCCCACCTTGTCTGCACTTAGCATTGGGTATCAATTTGGTTTCTAGGACAAGGCAGCTATTAATGAAAACCTGGGTGTAAAGCTGGGTGTTCATCTTCTGATTTCTTGCCCAGCTCTCTTGTCTGGCCCTGGAATATGCTACGCAGTCGTTGTTCTCCCCCTGCCACTCTTCTGTGGCCTTCCTTGTAAGTTCGCTCGGCTCCTCCTCCTCAGGCAGTCAACTGCACAGGAAAAGGCCCAGCAGTAAAGCCTTCTTTCTGGCTCACCCTCACAGTTGCTAGACTGACTTTGCGTGGCTCTCCTGTGAACACAGGGTATGTGTTGCCCAAGAGCTGCTCCTTCCCAGACTCCAAAGATTGTCCTCTATCCTCCCGAGACTTTATCCTGGATGCCCATGGACACTGTGCAAACCTTTCCGGAGGAATTTATCTGAGGCATCCAACTTGTTCTGTTTCTCTTCTGTGCCTTGCCTGCTGCTGCTGTAGCTCTAGCTCCCAGCAAACTGGGAAGTCTGAAAGGCAGTCTGCCTATGTTGGCCTCTGGATCCTTTAAATCACAATGAGGGCTGCTGGGAATTAAGTGGGGGCTCTCCAGGGTGGCAGCAGTCCTGAAGTGGGGAGGGTTAAGGGGGATAGGTTAGCAATTGCTCTTAAACTCACAGTTATCACCAGGCTTTGATGCAAAGAAATTGCAGGGAGTCTCTCTCCTTCTAGCCAGCTAGGGGGCATTTCCTAGCTGCTGCTCCCCGTTCTCACTCAGACAATGCACATCAGAGACCTGTTGGAGTGAATCTATGATTGGCTGCGATGGGGCGACAGCAATACTGCAAACCCAACCACGATGTATCTCGGCTGTGATTAATGTGTGCAACAGATGTGCCACGCTGTGCTCGCCTCTTTTTATTTGTGTCCAGTGCTACCAGACAGGAAACTGGTTCTGATCCTGGGCTGCTGCATAGGGTTCATTTCTCTTCCTTGACACCCCCTTTCTACTCCTCCAGTGCCCCCTTCCTTCCTCTCCTCCATTTATTAATCCACCTCTTGGCTTTGTGTGGGCATCCACCTGCCCATTTGCCCTCAAATTTGCGGCACTCCAAGAAATCAATATAACATGAATTTAACGACAGCTGGATGATTAAGTGTTATTTATATTTAAGAGCGGCATTTAAGAAAGATGTGGCATTCATAAATCAAAGGGCTGTTTGGGAGATGCACATGATTAGGGTAATTGCCCTATAGGCTTCAGTGAGTAATGCTTGGTCACACAGAGCCCTGCAGACACTGTCTCTTTAAAAGTCCCCACTGTGCCCTCCCTGAATGCCTTTCCTATTCCCCTCTGCTGTCCCCAGGACTTACTCTTACTTGGCCTTCAGTCTTGGCTCTCTAGGCTGCAGCCTCCTAGTCATGGCAGGAAGGTGGAGCCTGGCAGAGACTGAAGGGGGCTCTGCTGCTAAGAGGTAAGAGATGGATTTTAAAAGGAAAGGCTGGCAGGGGGTCCTAATTCCTGATCAGAGGCCTTGTTCCTGAAGGAGGAGACTGCTGCTCTGTTTGGCAGGAGGCATCTCAGAAGAAAAGCTTCTGGAGTCCTACATGAGGACCCTGTTCCCTGATCATCATTTTCCCCGGGGAAGAGGCTGTACAGACAGACGTAGCAGCATTGATTTTAAACCTTATGGAAACAATGGGTTGGAAAATAATGATGACTAATGATGACAATGGTAGTCAGTATTTATGGAGCACTTGCTGGATAAGGTAACGTTTAATTACTTTGCATGGGTTGGCTCATTTATTCCCCAGAACCACTCACTTGAGAAGTAGTTGTTATTGTATCCCTAAGTCTTCCATGATGAAACTGAGGTGAGAGAGGTTAAGAACTTTATCCAAGGTCACATAGTAGCCAAGGGGCGGAGCCAGGTCTCAGTCTGAGCTGGTTCCTGTCACTGTGCTGCTTGCTTCCTCAGGTATATGTGCTCAGCATATTGTCACCGCTCCCGCCCCCTGGGTAGCTTGTGGCACAGTATGCTGGGGGCAGACTCATACTATCTGGTCCACCTCATCCCTTGGGATGCCTAACTCAGGCAGATATATTTTATTTGTTCTTTGAACCTCAGCATCCCGGTTCTTGAAAGACAGATGAGTCTCATCCTTGGCTGTTAGAAGATTGATAAGTTGTATGGAACTTCTTAGCAGAGTGCTCAGTTCCTGAGGGTGATTGTTTCCTCATTTGGCAACATCTGTTTTCTCCTGGGACAAACTAAGTAGGAGTGACTGAGTGAAGTCCCAATCTCTGCTTTTGATTCTCAGAGGCTGTAATTGTGGTAGGAGTCTAGCTCTCCCTCGTGTTTGCTTCAGACTGCTGGTACTGTGGAAATGACACTTTCTCATCAAATCCTCAAAATAAGTCTGTAAGGTAGGCATTGTGGATTCCCATTTTGATGGCATAGGGACTTAGGCTGAGTTTAAGGGAGAAGCCCCAGGCCCTAGGTTGCTAAGCGACAGGTGACTGCATTCTTATCATTGTACTGCTCTCAGTGTGCTTCAAACTTGTTCTTTCATTCATTCATCAGCTCTAGGGTTCCAGATTTTGGGATCCAGAGGCAGGGATAAGTCATGCCATGCAGGGTACCCTGGATTCAATGGTAGTTGAGGTAGAGACTCATTAAAAGTCAATACCTGTGTGGGAAGAGTCATTTGGGATGACAGTTAAGTGTCAAAAA